GGAATATAGCTGTTGTGTTCCCTTCTGTGAGCCTTTTTTCTCCGGCACTAGGCACTGAAGCGGGTCGGCAGCAGATACCTCAGATTGGTGAATCAGCAGATATAGCACATTCCATCATTAAAACTATCAGTCCTTGTCGTAAATTCCATGACTTTTGTGTCCAGAATATGCCAGAGGTTTCGAAATGTCTTCAGCTATTTAGACTGGCTGAAGTTATTTCCTAAAATAACGTTTGGTCATTCGGCTTCCAAAGAAACACCATCGAAAGGGATGGAATTTTTCCAGAGTTTGTTGTTATACCAAGGTGGACAAGCGAACTCCCATTTCAGCTTTGCTTGTTAGTCCTCACAGTATCACTGTCCATGGGAGCTGATTTCTAGCGACAAACTATTGCGTCTCTTTTTTTAACGCGAGGTTTACGCTCTACAGAGTACTCATCGATATTCTATAGGTTTCGTATAACCCCTGCACAGCCTGTGATCCAATATTGAGTGCAATTATGAAAAAAGCATAGGTTGATTTTTTTTACGAATTTCGGTTGTTCGTCTAGGATGTAAGTTATATCTGTCCAGCCGGGCACCATGGCCCCAGCTCTCAGACGCACTGTATCTTAACGCCAAATGTTTTGTTAACTTTAATTCATTTTCTCTTGCACAAATAGCTGTCATGTTCCCTGAGAACCCCACACCCGTTGGTCGGCTTCGCGTCGGATGGAAGATTTGCGACCCTGTGGGCGTCTGGGTTTTGCATCAGTTACCATGGCCTCATTGGTTGACCAGTGAGATAGCACAACAATGCGCCAGGATGCTTGATTTCAAACACTACATTCGGTTCTCCACCCCAGCTCTTACTCGACTTCGTGGAGGTCCTCTGGTAGCACATATGCTCCGTCTATTTCGCACGCGGGCTAACCTTGAGTTGTCGCGTAGTTCGTCAGCTGAGCAGAAGAAACTTGCGAAGCCTCTGCCATTAGTTGCTCCCACGTCTGGACTGGAAGTAGTTGGTTCCGGTCAACGGTTGATCGCCTATTTCGCGCACGACTCGACCCTGGCAGCGGTGCTGAGTCATTTGGGCATTTTCAATCGGTGAGTTTTATACGATCCTTCTGTATTTTTTCAACGTGAATTACCACCGCTTCAACTTGCGTTTTTGGAAAACTTCCTTCTTGTAACGTTTTCTGTCCTAAAGGTATATTGCTCTGTTTCACAGTCACAAAGAAAGGAAGTTCTCATTCTGACAAGTTCACCCCCAAAGGTAGCTATCCGTTACATGCTTTCTCGTGAAAACCGACGGACCCCTTAGAAACGACAAATCAACAGCAGTTGGGCTCTGACTGATGCTTGTCTCCTCTGACTTTTTTCCAAGTTAGCTGGTAAAATTCTGACATAAGTATATTCCAGCTTATACGTTTCATTCTCCTTCTCTGAAACACAAGGAAACTATGTGTGAAAACGGACTGAGCTGTGGCCATTAGTCGGACGACACCACACACCGTTCCTCATTACTATGCGTGCCTTACGTCACTGAAAACAGGATCTGTTACCGTTAGCTGCTCTTCTTATGTATGAGCATCTGGAATGTTGCCAGTAATCCCTGAAAATGGAACAGGCGTCGCCTTATCGCTTTGAAAGCCAGCAAGTGATTCAGTTCCTAGTCCCAAGACATGGTAGCCTTACAACCAACCTCCGACATGAATTTTAAGAAAGAGCTTTTTAGACATGATTGTAACCAATCGATATATGCTTAGTCAGTAGAGTACTTTAGACTTGCTTGGAAACTGCGTCCATCCAGAACCTCAATTATATAACGTTACTGGCCTCTTGAAGTAGAGCATCGACCCAGACAGTCATCATCATCATCATCATCTGTAAGAGCCTCGTACTTGTACAGTGGTTTTAGCGGCTCCACTGAGACAGTCGTTCATATACGTTACAAGAGGCAACTAAATCCGGTTCACATGTTAAACATGGTGAGGCAGAATAAATTACGGAGATAGCCTCAAATGGCCAAGGGTGCGAAGAGGGTTGTAACTAATGTGGAGTCGTTGATTCTGTTCGGGCTGCCCAACTCTCGCTAATTGATTCTGCTGTATGTGGTCACTTGTGGCATAGCTGAAGTGTTAGTTGGCGTGGTACGGCTTCCAGTGGTGCTGGTAACATGACGTAGCTTCAGTTCGGTGCATTATACAGAGGTACTTTAGCACCCCGTACTTTCACTGTGTATACTGACTGTAACTATTCCACGTTAACTGTGGGGTGTTGGACTTATCAGTGCACTGTTGATGACCATAATACAATTCAGAAGGTATATGCACTAATAAAAGTTTTTAGTATAGTTGACAATGGTGAGATGTCACACGTATAAAAATAAATACAATGCAAAATGGGAGCAAGTCAAATGAGGAACTTATCGTCTGTGAGAGTTCCTTGGTGAAAGTCCGGACGGCGGGAACGNCAGTACGACTGCCACACGTGTTCCATAATTGTCCGTGGACTTGAGGAGAGTGGTTGACCTCCTGATCCCTGCGTGCGCGCGCGAGTCTGTGTGTGCTGACTGTGTTCGGTTTCGCTATATGTAGGTTAGTTTTGTGTGTACGTGGGTGTGTTAGCACATGAGCTGTTGCTACGCTCACTATACGGTACAGACAATCGATGTCCGATGAGTCACCTTAATGTGACATGGTTTGTGAGTATGAAAAAAGACAAGTCTCGAGCGACTGTGAGCTGAACAGTCAAGTATGTGGGTGACTGGGTAGCTACAGACTCTCCACCACATTGCCATAAGCCTACTCGCAATCCCATCGAAGTTTTGTACGAATTTGCACTTTAGCCGTCATGTCGAAGGTTGTTTGTGTGACTGTCATGATTGATCATCACCATAACTGGGATATTGCGTGAATCTGCGGTGTAATTGTTTTCCAGGTTTCTTACTCTTTTCCACAATATGGGGTGAAGTGGAGTGGTACTCGTTGAATCAGACTCTTTTCTGGCATGCAGTTTATGCCACATGCAACATACAGAATTTCTCGTCCCAGAGTTTCCTTAGCTAAGGACTTCGACCATTGTAATGATAGTGTAGCGATGACAGGCCTCAGAATTAGCGTGAGGTGCCTTTGTTCAAGGTGTCGATCCTTCATATTAACATAAATATTAAGAAATGGATTAGCGGATGGACTTTCTTTCGTAGATTGCTCGCTACGGTTAATGCCCACAATGACAAGCAAAGGGAAACTATAAGATTGCGAAATCCTTTTGCTTGAGCAAAATATCATACTGTGATCTGTTTCAATTAACCTATGAGGTGCAGCCCCATTCGTAGGGCTGAGAGTAGCATGTATGTACGTTGGCTGCCTAGGTGCGAGTTAGCGCCAGCTGAGCCTGATGTTGCTGCTGCTTGGATGAGTGCTCATGGTGTTTAAGTGTAGCCCATATTTTCGCTTTTTCGGGATAAAAACCACCAAGAGGTGGAGCAACTTCTTTCAAATCACCTATAGTTTACTCGTGACAAAATCTGGGTATTTTCATCCTGCCACTGTTATATGGTTTGGTTTTTTGTCCGGCCCACGGAAATGTCACACCGGCCTGCATTCCAGAAGAATCTTTGGATCCTGATCAACGTTTGCGAAATTTCATTTCTATGTTAATACGCGTTTGACGTTAAGTGAACCGTATTTTTTTTTACCATAGAGGCTTTTCAGTACCTGTTAGTAAGGGTCGGCATTTTTTTTATCAAGGAAATCTCCAACATAACCCTGGAGAATTGTTAGGCCAGTAAACGGCCTTTAGAATGGTAACGTGTCTTGAATATGAACGCCCGCCTAGTGCTTTGAAGTCCGTGCTCAAGGTTGGACACCCTTTGGAACATCTTGACTTCATTTCTTGACCTCAGGTTTCCGTCAATGTATCTTATGCAACTCACCAAAACGACGATGTGTGGCTGAACGATTTTCTGTTATCAAATTTTCCTTGTTGCATTCGTGTGAAATTGAAGTAGCAAGCACTTTTGGTTATCACATCCATTCGATAGGTAACCTCGAACACAGACCTCCTTGATGTACCTCAACGACTGAATTACTAACAGATGGGTTGTGATTTGTTTTCACATTGTTACATGGCTCCTGTTGGCTCAAGTCAGTCATTGGATGTAACTGATTCATCTGTTGTTTCTTCGGGATTGTAATTCGGGCACCTAATTCGATGTACCTTTTTGACGCAGCAAGCTAAATTGAACTTTTTGCCACAGAACCCGAGATGAAGGACTCGCCAGATGTAGGGGGGAGCACTGTAAACAGACAGGAGTGTGGTCTAGCTACTAGAAGATGCGTTTTTTACGTATGAAAACTTAACGCCACCTAAAAATGACGGTGATGATCCGGAACAGTTTCGTAAGCTACCTGAGTTACCTTGGTCAGTCACTACTGTGGGTAACCTGAGAACATATAAGAAATTTTGGGTGATATTCATATGAAGAATGCATCAGTCTGCGACGTCAAAGGTTAAAGCTATCATTTGCAGCCACCGAATGGGAAATGCGCTTTGAAACATTCGGCACATCATTTAGCTGAAAGGCTTAACTTTGTCTCTCACTATACATGCTGTGGTAGTCACACCAGTAAATCACTTTCTACCTGCTTTGGTGAGAGGATAAAGCCAATCTCTTCTCACTCATCCAACCAGTCGGTACACTGCTGATTTCCTGGAGGTTTTCGCTTCCAAGGCCCACATTCCACGCTTCTCTCTTGTTTGGCCTGCAGTGCTGTAGTAAATTTTGTAGCTTAGACCCTTGCTTTATAAACAGCATGCATAGGGTGTAATTCAACTCAGGTGGCGTTCCGTTGAAGAAAAGAGCCATGGTGTGAGCTCTTGGTAATACTGGTCCGTGGCAATGAAGCTTGTCTACCTAGCACTTCTAGCATTCAGTTGGGGATCAGCGCTTCCTTTTTTTCGTGTATCATATTATGTCAGCTCTCTAAACACTTGTATTTGCTCACGAGTTCACTAGGTAAAATTTGTGGTACATCATACTGAGCAAAATTGTTCGCCATATGGCTGTACAATGTTCTTTACTCTGTTTTATCCGGTACGTTGTTTCAGTTGATTTAGCAGAGTGTCTCTGGGCTCCTGCGCATTTTTATCACACTTAGACAGGTTCACCATCGAAGTATTTTTTACCCTTGGAAACCATGCGTTCTTGTTTCTAATGCACAGCCATAGTTCACATAGTTCACTTAGTTCAACAACGTGAACTCAAGACAACTCAATGTTCAAACCACGAACGTATTGACTGTAGGGTTTGTGGTTCGAATTCAATCCTGACATCCCGACTACTCTTGTCTAGGCTTGGATAAAGTGCCCGTATCTTAGCCATCGTGCTTCCACCCGGTAGCGCTGCAGCTAGTCACTGACGACGCATCACAGGCCAACAGTTATTTTTATGTCAACAACTTGTAGTAGAATGTGAGATTGGTATTTGGCTAGGCGGCACTCTGTGCTCGAGCTATGCAGTATACAGCTTTTAAGAGAGCTGAAACCAGTTGAGAGCACTCTTTGCCGGATTACAATTCGTATGGTCACTTCAGCACCTGTGTGAGCTTTTAAGGTTTACGACCGGGAAAAATCATTTGTCTCAATCATCTTGTTCGTATTGTATATTCCTTCTCAGTATCTAGGGCGGTTTCCGAACAAAAACACTGGGTGATTAAGTGTGGTCGCAGTCTGTTTAAGGACCTGCGTAGTTCAGAGTGGTGTGCGGAGAAAAGACACCAGAATGCAGATGAGTTGCCAGTTTGAAAGGCTGGAAAATTTTATGATTTGATATCAGCACTTCAGAGACATAGGGAGCTACAAAAGTGTGCACTTCGTTTTCATTTATCACGACAAAGATGGCATCTTCAGTCGTTTCTTCTGTGTGACTGGATTTTTGTCCATTTGAACATATCCATCGATCATGCCTAATTCATAGAGGACATCAACAACTTGGAATTCTTCTGTAGGTAATACCTAGAATAGATTCCAAGGCATTCATACTCTTTTGATTAAACTACATGAATCTGCCAAAAACTGTTTTTCAGTGGGTGTATGCTTCAAAGATCCGAACGGTTGATCTCTCTAGAGAAGGACAACCATAGTTTATTCTAGACTGATTCTGTAAGTACTTGTATCGCTTTGAGAAGATTACTTTGAAGGCCAATACAGCAAACATGTGAGAGCTGGGATAGTTCTAGAAAAATGCCTAAATTTAACATAACCTCTTCATTCACTGACTGAGCAGTATTCGAATGTTGAAGGAATGTGTTCATACTGGCCCTCCCTTCTAGAGAAACGCTCGTCTAACGTTTGTTGATAGTGACTTAATATTGTGCTTCTTCGCCATTGGTGGATCACTATCAAGTCTCCGTGTGCTCCGGACACTACGGAATGCACACCTGTCTACAACGACAACGGTCTTCTGTTCTTATTAGAGAAGATATTTTGTTCACGCTGCTTTAGTCGTATCGGATGCAAGTGGAACAATGCCCAAGTTAGATGAGTTGCTTATGGGCGAACGGAATGAATGCGGTTGATTCGTGGATTTCCGTTGTAAATACATAGATGTCAATATTAAGTGGATCTTTGATAGAACGATCGTACCATTTACGGCCTGTTTCTTGTCCAATACCCTCTCTCCTAATTCATTCGCTCTTGGAATTCCCCTTCAGGTTGAAGCCACCGGTGGCAAGCAGCCTGATTGTTGAATTGCATCAAAACCCCACAGCAGCTGACGACTTCTTGGTTCGGTTTCGTTATAGAAACCACACTAGGCCAAATGATACTTTTGTTTACTCATTGTGGCCACCGGCATGCGGTCCCTCGCAGCTGGCACAAGAGTCCGGTTTCATGTGTTCGTTAGCGCAGCTGGAGTCGGCCATGACGGGAACATACCTTGTGGAGTTGGATGCTGGATGTGAAGAAGCCATCAGAGAAGATCTCGATGTAATGGCGAATTTTTACTACCCATTGCTTCTGTCGTTGCTTTTCGCAAACTTACTTCTATTTTTATATCTTTGGAGACGTGCCAGGCTGCTGAATCCCGAATGTTAGCCTCGCTTTTCTCCAATTCATTTTCTCCTCGTCCTCAGTAGCTGTCTTTCAATTGTTGTAAATTTATTGTCGCGTTTATCGCTTCTGTTACTTCTAGCACCAGATTCTTCATCACTCCTGTTGAACGTTTCCCTTGTTCATTTTCTCAGAGCATTTTCTCCTAATGTAGTGTACATTATACCATGTAAAACTATATAATATAGTTTTTTACTGGAACTTTCGGATCTGATTTTGACAGTCCAATTTTTTGAAACCTGGTTTTGGTCTTTCGATTTTGAATCAATATTATTTTTTCAAACGTAGTCTTTCTCTTTTCACGGTATCGTTTGGAATGCTAGGCGTCAAGCAGCCGGTAGCATGCTGTTCCACAATCTGCCTTGGTCCAAAATTATGGATTAAGTGAACTTCGAGTTAGGACACTTGAGTTAGCGATATGCATTCAAGTTGTATTTGTGCTGGTTGGTGTATTCTCCTCTAATCACTACCGCCATTTCCCATGTAGTCGTTTCTTCATTTCGAATGAAGTGTTTTCTCCACATGCTCGAGAGCAATGTGTTCATCATTATGGTTGATTTTGTGTTAGCACTGTATGTCATTGTTGAACACATTTCATTACAGCTGTAGTATGCACGCTGAGGAAGTACCAGGGGACAGTGATTCTCAGAAGGTAGGGTTTCACAATAATTTCAGTGGATAGCAGGCAAAAACATCATGAGCCGAAGCCCAGTAAACAAGTTCATACATAACTAATACTTACATATAAATAAATCAAACTGGCAGACACCGTATACTGCACAGTGAGATGTCAACTCAACCCACGTGTGGTATACTCCTTCTCAACTTGAAACCATGCGTTTTTTATCCCACATCTGCGAATAGTTACTGCCCTTTCGATTACTCCTTCGCACGATCACTGTATCCTAAGTCAAAACATACTTCCAGTCATGCCTAAGTTTCCTTAACTCACTTGTTACCACTGACCTAGTACGAATGGAACGAACAGTCGTGGAGTGACTCACTAGAATCTAACTTGACGCCATGATGATTCTCCCACCAATTTATTTACCCCGTCCATCTACTTTTCATCTATACTTGTTTCGCTCACCCGTACGCGCTATTCACCTTGCAGCAAAGTCCGCCCAGTCCAAAACTGATTTTCCGTTTGATCAGTTCAGGGGCTAGCTAATGGTAGCCTTGGTTCAAGAAAATCCACCAGCGCGAGCTTCCTACTTCACTGTGACGTAATACAAATTCATTACCCGTTTGTTCAACACAACATTGATTGATGACCACGCAGAGGACGGGCAACACGCCGCCTTTTAACCTGACCAACTAGCAACAACGGATTGTGCATTGGGGCGGGCTCTTCCAGCGTAGTGCAGCAACCTGATTCCAACGGTCCAGTGTGAAGCATGTCCCGTTGAATTCCACGGTTCTGAAATGGAAAAAAGAGCCGGTATACGGGTCTTAAATAAATACAGATGGTGAAGTTAACATATTTGAAGCACGCCTTTAATGAGTCCAGTGAATTGTCGGTTTGAATCGTTTCATGTTTCAAGTTTTTCCGAGTGTCCCTCGTTTACAACCGCGAAATACAAACAATAAGCGACTGTCTAACGAATGACATGAAAAAAAATTATCATCGCGTTAATTTCTAAAATTGAGGAACTATTTTTGGACTATTGGATGTGCCCGTTCTGTTTTTTGCCAAAAATTCTCATACAATGGGAGTGGTTTAGATGGCATATCTGTATGTTTGAAAACAAAACGCTGGGCAAAATCGTGTTTTCAACAGCTCGTTTGGCAGGTACAAGCCACATATAAAAGCAAACCTAACGAGAGTGAACCGGTTGCATGTTCAACGAAGTCTTTACGAAGATGACGAATTGCCCGGATGATTTTGGGCTATAAAAATATATCATATGAATATTCTCGCTTTGGTTCATAACAGACGATTGAATATATCAGCCGCACGACAGTTGCCTTTCCCAATGAAATAAGACGCCAAACAATAAGCGCGAGAATGTTTTTTGCCAAGCCTCTTATTGTATCCACAGAGCGCTACGCCCAAGAGTCCCACTGGGCAAGAACTTTCATAGTTCAGGGCAAAATCGAATTTTACTTCGTAAAAATCTTGGATATTGCAAAATGGAAGTTAAAAGTAGCAGAGCCTGAATCAATAAACGCTACCGGAAAGCCAACCGAGCGAGGACCATGTGTGATAATTCACTGTGTGGCGGAGCGATCGTGCTCACTCTGTCGGTGCTCAAGAGATGGCAGCTCATTAGACCGAAGAGCACGGTATCTGGCGTATATGACAAAGTGATAGCACCCTGCACCGACTATTAACGGAGAAACACAGGTACAGGAAAGGATGGTCTATCATCAGAGCACGCTGGCGCACGTGTGGTGTCGGAAGCGCGCGGTTACATGTAAACAAACGAAGAATGTTAGTTATTGGAAATGTTATCGATTTCCTCTGGGGGTATTCGAGAGCGTTCTTATACTCTAGCTTCATTGTCGACGCTTCTTTGGCAAGAGACAAAGGACACCATAGTGCACACACTAGTGCACAACTTTACCTTCGTCGGTAGGTTCTCCAAGTGTGGTCGTAATCGTACATGAAATGTACGCTAAAGAGGCTGTTCAGACCAGTTTTATTAAAGCGATGATATTTTAGGGTCATCACAGGCCTAGAAATGCCGCTGGGGTTTGATAAAACTTTATTTCAAAGGTTGGCTTAAGCCCTCTATGGCGATTGAGGAATCTCGAAGATAACCGCTTTCTGGGCTTCGCGTAACAAGTGTGAGGCGCAGAAGATTGCCGCAGTAAAACGAGAGTTGTTGGTAAAACGTGGTGATAATGGGAATCGTTTAGGTTTTTTCCAGTGTTGACCGCTCATTCGTAGCCTAGGTAGTTTGCGGTTCGCATCGGCTGGAACCCATTGGGAACGTCTAGGAACTGAGCTTGGCGTCGTGCACTACCTGCCTCCTAAAACGGACGGCCCCGTCGCCCTGCGTAACTGCCCATGTGGTAATAATTCCAGCTCCATTTGGGTTTTGGCTGCTTTAATTATTTCCTCACGTGGTGGTTTCAGTCGGCTGAAATGGATAACTATACTTCTGTCCGAGCGTCCTTACATGCAGTTTGTTTCCGACCACATTTTTTTTCACCACACACGAACCCTTTCGCCCATGCTAGAACTTGGACCGTACTTTCAATTCGATTAACTTTCTCCGCTACCAAATAAGCATCACACATCATGTAGTCGTAATCATTTGTTGTCAGTGCATCAGTTCGAGACTGCTCTGCGCCATTGAATATGCCTGCTGAAGATATACCACCGGCTGGCGGACGCTATCTTAGGCGAGTGGCCAGGCAGGAGTTGGTGCGAACGATCCCATACTGTCGATTGGCCTGTTTCCAGGCGCTGTCTTCACAAAAGCAGCTTCTTCTGGCATGTTACGGATTTCATCGGTCTCCCGAACCTTGCTGGTTTCGTATTTCAAATTGCTTTCATGGTTCAATATAAGATCAAGATGCAGTTGACCAGAGGCATCGCAGTGGCCGGTCAGTTGTTTCCTGAACTCATTCGTCAGAGTAGCTGGTTAGTTCGACGGTGTGGCACCGTCTTGCCTCGTTTTGATAAATACCCAACTGGTACGATTAGGCGCTTGTTTCCTGAGGGTGTTTTGCATAGTACAACTCCTACGCACACACAAATGGCCGTTTTACACTCTGGGGTGGTACCCTTCTCCAGTGCCTACGGTGTCCGAGGACCGCACATGGTTGACATGATTTATGCGAGTTGATTTCGGCTCGGTGCCGACGTAATCAGCGATGGCAACTATCGCGGCGTTTTCCTTTCTTATAGTGGCACTTTTAAATTGTTCGTGCAGCCTTTTGGGCAGTTTCGGAGCAATTCTTTCGGGAACAGGAGGCCGTTCGGTGAAGGTAAATCAGTTCTTAATTTCAGCAGTCAGCGTATCACGGCGACTAGGACCCTCTCGACAATAAGTTGCGGATTGCGTCTCCTTGTTGCTTGGTGAGTTCTAAGATATCCGTTCCGGACTTTTTGTGAGCCATCGGTTTCATTGTTAGAAGCACTCCGGACTCTGGTGTGGCCATCAACTTGCGGTATTCTTTTGACAAAGAAAGCTGCTGCAGTGAGGCGAACTTCGTCGGTGAAGACGAAAGTCCCTGATACGGACGAGAAAATTAATAGCAATCATCGCAAACGACGCGTACATCTGCTACTGCCGAGCGTTAGCCTAAATATTCTGTTCATCTGATGACTCCCATAGCCTGCGGGTCACGGAGGATGTAAATAAAATGTCAGGTGTCTGAGCCACCCTGCGCCATATCCCAAAATGAGCGCAGCATCCACAGAATTAGCTTGGAACAGCAGTTCATCCCAAAGTGCGTGCCAGACAAACTTTTTAAACAAGCTTTTCGAAACGTTATCTTGGTTACGTCTAGGACTTCATAAATATAACCATAGGGGATTGTGGTGGTCTGGCTATCCAATAAGTTAGTCCACCAGGTGTGTGGCAAAGAAATAAAAACAATAACGCTAGGTTGTGTATACAATAATAAAGAGGACAGATGGAACAGACTCAATAACAATTCTTCTCTTTAAAATAGTTCGTCGTTGGCCCAGGTCAGCGAATAAACAATAATCCAATTATGGTGATCCAGGGGTCTTCTCCTGAACAGTTCCTACATACAATAGATTCCGAAGATAGTCTGAAATGTTTTGATAACAGAGTTAGCACACGAGACTCGCGAACGAACGCTGCAAGCGCGAACGAAATCAGAAGAGAGAGTTAAAGCACGTGACCGCGCCTGTATTTCGTGAAATTGTGCAAGCTCAGTTAGCACGCGTCTGCTCCTGGGTGCAGAACCTGTGCGAAATCTGTACAGAACTTCTGCACTGATTTTTGGCTTTTAAGCCGCGAAAGATTGGGACTTTTAATAGGCATCAAAGCTTCTTTATTTGTCCCACAGTAGTAAAAAACCACAACACCCTGCATTTCCGGGTGCCTAAGAAATGCAGACTGTCGACCCATTTAAGTGGTTTTGTTTTAATGTGCGGCGCCAGTGCTCGCGGGAATCTCTGCGTTCTGCTTGTCCTCAAGTACGGCTGAGTTAGTTTTGTTGTTCTTTCCTATGCTTTATTCCTGGTGTGCTTACGTGAACGAAACCGTAAAAAGATTTTTCATTTCAAGTAATCGTCAACGCGCCCGAAATTTGTTCGTG